GGAACCGGTCTGTATGTGGGATCCAAACCCTCGGTGGGAGCGCTGCCGCGCTCCCAAGCAGAGCACTGTAGCAGTGCGCCACCGGGCCAGCCCAAACTGCAGGTTCTTGACAGGTGTCATATCTAATTTATTTTGGCAGTTCAAACTTCAATTGAAGTGTTGGGTATATAGGGGGCCCTTAATAAATATTTAATGATTATATTAATGATCAATATATTCTTTAAGAAGACCAGTTAGCTGGAGTGTTTCTATAAGTGGAAAGAAAAAACAGTATAACAGTCATGTGAACAAATTTGTTTCATTCATGTTAAAAGATCAGATTTTCATAACTCTATACCATAGGGTGTGAAAAAGTACATACTAATGTAATGCACCCTAAGTTATATAACTTGACTCATATTCACTAGTATATAATGGTATTATAGGATTACTTTATGTTCTTGGTATTTAAAATTTCTCCTGCAAAATTGGGTTTCTATAGACATGTGTCTACCTATGACTTTTTGAGACATGAATTTTAACTTATTAAAGAAAGTATTTCAATAATTATTTAGATAACATATTACTAAACAATAGTAGGATTAAAGCATGTATCAAATGAGAAGAATTTTAAGAACTATATATATGTATTATAAATGGTGTGTTTTGTCATTAATGACACATTTTCTTCTCATTTTTTCCAAAGAAAAAATGTGTAATACATGTGTAACTTTAAAGACTGTAGTTATTAAAGCTCTTCTGATTATGAGTGTTTACATTTGTCATAAACCTGAAGGAAAAAAAGAGTTAGAAGTTTTGGTTTATAATCTCCAGTAATAAGGCTATATTTATACAAAATGATAAGTAAGAAGAAAGTATTAGCAATCATTTATCTAATGCCAGAAACATTTTAAATTATTCCAAATGATTCCTTTTATGATTCATGACATAAAAAAGTGATTTTTAAAAAATTCTATATTCTTTCAATGTACTATTATAAAAAAATGTTAGCTAATTCTGAACATTCCACAAATACTTTGCTTTCTATATCTAAGCCTCTGATTTGGCTTTTCAGTAGTAAAAGAGTAATTTAGACAGCATTCCCCTCTTCCAAACGTGGATCTTTCTTGCAGCATAAGTGCTATACTGAGAAATGTGATCTGTAGCACACATCAGAGGCTTCAACATCTCAAGTCTTAAAAACAAATTAAATCTCTTTAAGTAGTTACAATCTTTAATTAATTTAAATGGAATATTTAAATAATTAGACTTCTTTTACATTACTACAACATGTTGATCATTGAAAGGAAATTCTGAAAACCACCAGGCATGTTCTTGAAGTTGAGAATACCAGTCTGGAGAGCACAGTGGTTTTCAAAGTGAGATGCAGAGAACTCAAGGAGTGCATAGGACATTTCTTGTTATTTATGATTAATTTTTTTCTCTCATAACCCCCAAACCCTAATCCTAAATTGCAACAAGGAATGAAAAATAGCTACAAAATCTTAGAAACACTATTCTTGAAGTTAGTAGTTTAATCCTATTTTTCTGCTAGTTATAAAATAAATATACTAGATATTCTTGGACTTTTCTACTTCTTGAAAACTACATATTTACTGTTTCATTTATGTAAGAATATATATTGAGTTATTACCTTCATGCATCTATTCATAAAGGTGCCAATTACTTTTATATTCATACATTCATTTATTCTTAAACAAATACTTATTGGTTTCTTACTATTCAAAAATAATTGTGCTGGGCATTATACGTTTAATGATTCATAAGGGCAACATGTTTATTTCCCTCATCTATGAGGGAAAATCAAATTCTATTTGCAGACAATTCATCAATGAATTCTTAACAATTTAAAAAAAATAAATTCAGCGCTGTATTCAATGTTATAGAAGAATATATAAATTAAGAAAACACTGATTTTATTTTTAAGGAACTGATAATTTCACCAGGAAAAGATAATTAGATGCCTGAAAGCCTCAAGAACTAATATTAAATAGAATATATTCAAATGCTGTCAAAAACATCAGGAAGTAAATACAAGAAAGTAATTGAATTCTAAGTTGCGAGTGGATTAGACTTGGAAGTACAAGCCATTTTAAAGAGAAAGGAGAAAATGAAGTCATGTAAAGCCCCCTGGAGAAGATGAGTCTTAAGCTGAAGTTTGTGTGGAAATGGGATAGGAGAACAGGTAAAGGAATGGTATTCCAAGTCGAGGAGAAAAGAACCTCAGGAACAGAGGCATCAAAGAAGTGATGAACATGCTGTATTTATAAGACATAAAGACACCTGCTCAGGTACATAGCCTACCAAAGCTTCCTGCCCAAGAGGCTCTGCTCAGCTTCCGGCACAGAATTTCAAGCGCTTGTTCATAGGTATGAAACTCACCTCGTGATTGCTATCTTAGTACTTTGAATCTCAATTTTCTAGGATATCTTCTATCATAGGTTTACAAACCCTGAAAGATTCCTTGAAAAAGAACTCTTAAGGCAATAGGACCACATGGAAGATGCCCAATAAATGTACAGCTCCGGAGGAAGTACGGCTGGATATTTAAAATGACTCTAATAGAAACAATACGTTTTAACACATAGTTTCTTAATCTACTCATTAACTTTCTCTTCATACTTGAAGTTGTGTAATGATGTCATAATTTTCAACTTTGGCATTCCTAAGTTACATTCTTAGGATTATTATCCACAAGTAATCAATATGGTCTTTTCAACTTGGTCTTTAAGTCCCATGGTGTTAAAAAGAAAAGATAAAATTATTAAAACCACATTGTATAAGTTAAATGAGTAAACTGAATACATGTTGGAGAGAAAAGAAATATTTAGATGGTGAAAGGTTATCTACTACTGAAGTTAGAGATAAAAACATTTCATACTTTATTTGACTTCTCAATGTATTCAGTACTGAGGAGAAAAATCAAGAGAGGCTTCCTAGATAGTAGTTATTTTTATTAAGCAACAGTCCATTTAAGTTAAACCCATTGGGGGAAAAAAAGTTGTGAGAGAAGAGCTGCATTTTTGCTTTCAAACCTTCAAAAGATGTTATCTGTGTCTTGTTCTTTAAACATGAGAACTCATACATTTCTACATGTCCCCCAACATTTACCTGAAACTTCTTAAGTTTGTAACTGACTTTTTCCAGTATATGGAAAGAATGTCTGATCTAAAAGCAACAAATGATTGATTTCTTACTGTTATGAAAATTCAAATGTATGAATATAAGTGAGGATGAGAAACATTTCTTCTGTTCATTCTCAATATTGATGAATGTGAGCCAGTTTATCCTCTGTGAACATCATTATTCTGCCTAATGTGGGGAATCATATTTGAATGAAGTCAGATGGCTTTTCATTTCACGGGGCTATTCATCCTCGCTATTCTAAGGAAGTCTCTGGAGCCCAGGCTCCTGAGGATGAGGAAGACCTTGGAGATCATCACCAGCTCCCTTCTTTGCCCCCAAGGATAAGGAGGTCAGCAGAGATGAAGAGATTAGCAGAGGGAACACACACACAAAATTGTCTCTTCTTTTTCATATTTGCCCCACAAAATATTCACTTCAGATTATTTTCTTAATAGTAATACTTCAGTAAATTAAGACCATTTTTAGTCTTTAATAAAACCACTGCTTAGGTACACTTTCAAAATTTCTTCTTGGACAAACTTTGTCAAGTTAGTGGAACTTATTTGATGAAGACAAGAATTATAAAATTTGATTAAATATTTTATGGCAAATATTATACTGTAAAACTTCAGATGGAGTAAAGGTAATGATAATTTTAGTACCATATTGGCAAGCCACCAAAAAAAAAGGTGAATAAAAAAAGATAATTTGTTAAGTAAATTTTCAGATCACATTGAATATATTGTATCCCTTTTATTTTTGTTTGTTTATTGTTACATTATGTATTTTCATGTTATAAAGGCAACCCACTAGTAACAAGCCCGAGTTGGAGTGAGATCATCTTGTGTTCAAAGTCTGCCTCTGTCACACTAGCTTTGTGATCTTGGAAAATTATTCAATCTTATAGAAAATAAGTGTCTTCATCTTTAAATTGAGGACACTAATAGAACCTCCTTGATAGGGTCGTGTGGTTAATAAGCAACTTAATGTATACATGAAATGCTTAGCACGACACCCAGCACATAATGAGTAAGCTCAATAAAAATGTTATTAAGCCTCTGGACTACGGAATTAATTCCTAAGGCCCTGTGTTGAGCTCAGAAGATACAAACACAATCAGGCATGGTTCCTGCGAGAAGTCTTCCTGAAAGACGTGATGATGCCTGATACAAGTCCTGAAAGAAGAGAAGGAAACAGCCGGGTGGAAGACATGCGTAAGTCATATGTGACAGAAGGATGAGGGCTGGGGAAGTGGTTAAGAAGGAGAGGTAATATTTTCAGGGAGATGGAGCCCTGTGAACAGAGATGGCATTGTGAGGAAGTCGTATGTCATTTAATATGGCAAAAGCTCCTTCGCAAGCTGGGGAGTGGTAAGAGGTGATAGTTGAGAGCATGGCAATGAATAAGATCCCCCGAGGGGGATGGGCAGGGCAAGGAAGGTGGCAGGCTAGAGGAGCCTAGAGTGCATTCCTCCCCCAGCAAAGGACAAGAACAACTAACAGACAGCTAAATGTTGACAGGAGCTTCTGTGAGAGACCACAGAAGTGCAGCAGGTGACTAGTGAGGTCCCTGTGGAGCAGGAAAACCCAGGGTGGTGGCACAGAGAGCAGAGAGAGGCACACAGCCTCAGCTGCCATGTCTCTGACACCAGGATTGGTGCAAGAAGCATTTTTCCCTTGTGGCAAAAAGGTAGGCAGAGGACCCACACCCTTTACCACAGAGGCCCACAGATCCTTTGGCAGGACAAGCCTGGAGCCAAATGTGGGAGAGCAGTCTAGAATACACACACTACGTCACTCTAGAACAGTAGCACCTACTGTGCACTCCCCACCTTCCATCCCTGTGACCCAAGCCAATGAAAGATGGTGCCATCTTGAAACCAGAGCTACTACAGGAGCCTATCCTGCTCTGGGACAAGTGGCCAGGGTGCTTCCCCAGCCTTAAGGCTCTGCCCTCCTCCCAGAGTGCTCACTTGAGAGGCTACAATGCCCTGACCCTTGTGGCTTAAAGCCTGGGCTTGCTGCAGCTATGACTCTAGTTCTGCAGTCTGAAAAGCCAACCCTACTCCTGCTGAACAGATGTGCCTCCACAACACCAACCAAAGATCAAACAGGCAGACCCTCTTCACGGAGACCACCCCTCTTTCCACCCCCTACCTCCTACCATTGCCAGCTGACTGGGCTGTGTGCCTGAGCCCCAAACCCAGAAAAACAACTAATGGGTCTCTGCCCTAAGGAATATGCTCTTGGGCCAGTGGAAATAAAGTGCACACACCCCTCCTGGAGAAGGGGCCAGGCAATTCCATCCTAAGTAATCTTACCTAGTAGCCTTGAAAACAGTCCCAGAAGTCACTGCACTGGCTATTCAGTGCAGGCTTTCCTAGCAGCTCTGCCTATCACCCAGAAGCAGCAGGATGGGTTACTTCCCTGCAGTTCTGCCTAGCAGCCTCACCCACCACCCAGAAGTAGCTAGACAAGTCATTTCCCTGCAGGCCTGCCTAGCAGCCCTGCCTACCACCAGGGAAGCAACTAGGCAGGTCTCCTCACTGAAGTCCTGCCAGTGTCCTCACCCACTTCCTGAGAAGCAGCTCAGTGGCTCTGTCTGCCCTTGGCAGTCCAGCTCCTGAACTTCAAAGGAAAGCATGACCTCACATTGAGCCCCAAGAATTGGCACAGCAGAAGGGCCACCAGCATACCTGCACTTAGCTAGCTAGCCAAAACATACCCATGCCCCTGGCTCAGAAAAACAGCTCAGCTGTCATGCACCTGGAAGACCCACCACCGAATCTTTGAGCCATCACATGCACACACATCTGATTGAGAAACACCTTAGCTGATATGCTCCTGGTGGGCCCAACCCTAGTCAGAGAAGCAGCACAGTGACCTTGCCACTGGTAAACCAGTCCTGGAGACCCTCACATGCTATTTGTCCACACCTCCAGCCCAAGAATCAATCCAGCAACCACATCCCAGTGATCCATCACCTGAGACTACTGACCCACAGGGTGCATATGCACACCCCCAGCCTGTGAACCAACCCAGCAATACCTACCCCAGCAAAGCTGTGCCACCAGCACCACAAACCTGGTGATCAGTTGCTAAGTCACTCACAGACATAGCAAAAGTGGATTAAGGCTGAAGAAACTGCACAGAGTCTACACTACTGCATCCATCCAAAACAAAGCCATTGCACTCTACCCAGCTGACACCCTAGGATGCATTTGCAGGTGAAAGTCTTTTCCCAAACAAGCCACTCTACAAACCTCAAAAAGGCTACTATTCCACCAGATGCACACATACCAACATAGGGAAACAAGAAACATGAAAAAACAACGTAACATGACACTACCAAAAATACAAAATAATGCTCCAGTAACCAATCCCAAAGAATTGGAAATTGCCAGCTTGCTGAAAAAAGAATTCAAATTAATTATCTTAAAGAAACTCACTGAGATACAAGAGAATACAGAAGAACAGCTCAAGGAAGTCAGAAAAACAATTCACGATCTGAATAAGAAATTGAATAAAGAAATAGATATCATTTAAAAAAATCAAGCAGAAATCTTGGGATTGAAGAATTCATTAAATGAGATAAAAAATACTTCTGAGAGTTTCAACAACAGACTAAATCAAACAGAAGAAAGAATTTCTCATCTTGAAGATGCAGTTTTCAAATAACACAGACCAAAAAAAAAAAAAAATAAAAAGAATAAAAAAGGAAGAAAAAGCTTACAAGATCTATGAGATACCATTAAGTGAACAAATATGCAAATTGTGGGCATTCCAGAATGAGATCAAAAAAGATATTTAAAATGTATTTAAAGAAACCATAGCTGTAAAATGTCTCTAGTCTTGGGAAAGCTGTGAATATCCAAATCCAGGTCCTCAAAGGTCTCCAAATAGAGTCAACCTAAATAGGTAATCTCGAAAACACAAAAGACATCCTATGCTCATGACTTGGAAGAATCAATATTGTGAAAATGACCACACTGCCCAAAGCAGTCTACAGTTTCAATGCAATCCCTATCAAACTACTAATGACATACTTCACAGAAATAGAAAGAACAATTTGAAAATGTATATGGAACAACAAGAGACCCCAAATAGCCAAAGCAATCCTGAGCAAAAAGAACAAAGCAGGGGGTATCACACTTCCTGACTTCAAAATATACTACAAAGTTATAGTGATCAAAACAGCATGGTACTGGCAGAAAAACAGACACATAGACCAATGGAACAGAAAAGAGAATTCAGAAATAAACCTATACACCTACAGTCAACTGATTTTTGACAAAGGAGACAAGAATATATATTGGGGAAAGGGCAGTCTCTTCAGTAAATGGTCCTTAGAAAACTGGAAATCCATATGCAGAAGAATGAAACTAAACCCCTCTCTCTTACCATATACCAAAATCAACTCAAAATGCAATAAAAACTTAAATGTGAGACCTGAAACTATAAAACTTTTAGAAGAAACCATAGGGGAAACATTTCAGGACATAGGTCTGGGCAAAGACTTTATAAATAATACTTCAGAAGCACAGAACAAAAGCAAGAATAACAAATGGGATTATATTAAACTAAAAAGCTTCTGCACAGCAAAGGAACCAAAGTGAAAAGACAACCAGCAGAATGGGAGAAAATATTTGCCAACTATGAATCCAATAAGAGATTAATACCTAGAATATATAAAGAACTCAAACAACAAAATAGTAAAAAAAAAAAAAAAAATCCAAGTAAAAAATAGGCAAAGGAACTGAATAGACATTTTTTGAAAGAAGAGAAACAAATGTCCAACAGGCATATGAAAAATGCTCAACATCTCTAATCATCAGAGAAGTGCAAATCAAAACCACAATGAGATATCATCTCACCCCAGTTAGAATGGCTATCACTAAAAAGACAGAAAATAACAAATGCTGGTGAGGATGCAGAGAAAGGGAAACTCTTATACACTGTTGGAGGGAATGTAAGTTAGTACAGCCACTATGGAAAACGGTATGGGGATTTCTCAAACAACTACAGATAAAAGTTCAATACAATTCAGCAATCCCACCACTGGGTATATATCTAAAGCAATGGAAATCAGCAAGTTGAAGGGACACCTGTACTCCTACGTTTATCATGGCTCTATTGACAATAACTGAGTTGGAACCAACCTAAATGTCCTCCCATGGATGATTGGATAAAGAAAATGTGGTACATATATGCAATGGAATGCTAC